GGTTTCTGGGGTCACAGAGAGGGAGGAACAATATAATTTCCTCTCCCTCTGTGTAGTGCTGCTGTTGCAACCAATTGGAGCAGTCCCAGGCTTCCCAATCAGATGGGAGAGCATGGGAAAGGTGGCAGTGGGGAGGAAGGAGAACCCCTTCCAACACCCATAGAAGTGATTTAGCAGCTTTTCAGCCACTCTAATCATTTCTGCAAGCATCATCCCAGTATAACCCCTTTACTCCTAGGACGTCATAGGATGTCCACCCAGGTGAAGTAGTTAACTTATTAACCCCTTTATGACCAGAGTTAAAATAAAATCTGAAAGCAGTATTAAACCAAAAAGCAAACATTTATTATATTGCAGCTTACCAATTCTTAGATATGATTAATTTTTTTAGGCTTTCTTTCTTCTATTTTCATCTGATAATCCACCCAAAAAGTCTGTTGTTCTTCAAAAACAAAAGCTCTCTAGCGAAATGTATCAGTTGCAGAGATGAGACATACCATTTACCACTGACAAGGGTGCTTACAATGATCATCTTTTATATTTTTATGTAAAGCCTTTATTCCAAAAAGAAAATAACTGTTTGCTGTAACTGATTATAAAGTATTAGCTGGAGTTCAGCATAATTTGTTACTGTATTTATTATAGTACATCTAACACTTCACTTCCCTCCCCCCGACTGATAATGCTGCTATCCAAATCTGCCCCCTGTGCTGTGTGTGGGGGCACTCTAATACAGGAGGTGTGTTATAGACCAGATGACCAGGTAAAAACAGAGGGAGGTAAGCTTACAAAACCATTATGGCCACCACATCTAATGATTGGTAAAATGCAATATATTACATTTTTGGTTTTTGGGTTTAATACCGCTTTAATGCTCAAACCCAATTTTGTAATGTTGACCTGTTAGTATAACTGTGCTTATCATGCCAACTGCTCAGTGTATCCAAGTGGATTATACCTTATTTTTTCAGGACAGACCGAGCTTTTATTTGTTGCTAAATGCTGATGGATATCTCTGTAGTGGATTGTGATAGACAGTCCACGTTTTATTAGATGATCAGTAAAATGACAATTTTATAGTCTTGCTACTTTCTGCTTCTTGCTCTTTAAATTCCTTACTCTCTTAAGTAAACAATCAGATATAAGTTGACAGAACAATGATAATTAAGATGGCGCCTTCATCCGGAGTCTCACCCTAGGTGACTCATTAGAAGGAAAGTATCTTTTAAAGTAAACAACCCCCCATAAAAAGGGAATGAGTCGTTTTGGGGACAGTGATTGGAAGATATCAACACGGATGGATGAACACACAGAAACCTAGTGGACTTTTCACCCAATCAATGTATATGCTTTGCCTGCATCATGAGACCTATAAATGTTACTAAGAACCAGCAAACACAAATGCTCCTGCGTTTGGGGATGGACTCGATGCAGGCTACAACCACATTAAGAATGTCCTGGAACATGCACACCTTGCTGCCCTCAAATGGACCGGGGGAATCCAAATATACTGAGTGGGGAAAGAACAAAGAGAGGGCGCACAGGCCTAGTGCATTACCATAAGAAAATGTTTAATAAAAAATAAAGTATGTGTTGTACTCACAAACAACAATATAGTCAAGGCACATCATAAAGAACAGCTGGGTCAACACCGCGCTGAGTAACAGTCCACAATAGGGAGTTTAGACATCCAAAAGGCTGACGCGTTTCGAGGACTTGCCTCTTCCTCAGAGCCCTCGTTTGTGAGTACAACACCTACTTTATTTTTTTATTAAACATTTTTTATGGTAATGCACTAGGCCTGTGCGCCCTCTCTTTGTTCTTTCCCCACTCTATAAATGTTACTGTTAGTTCCTCAATAAAACAGAATTTTAGGAATTTGGCAAACTGCATTTATGTGCCATTGTCTTACTTCTATGTGCACGTATTCTCACATTAATTAGGCTCACTGGTAGATCACAACAGCTGTGTTCGGTAAGTGACCGCATCCAAAACATTTCCTGAGTTTGTTTTATTATGAAAGGAAAACTGGGCCAAAATAGAAAAAATCATTTTTAACTGCTTCCCGACCGCCCTATAGCAGATATACTGCAGGGGTGTTTCCGGGTAGGGAGAGCCACACATGCACCCTACCCATGCCGCCATTCCCAGGGTCCCGGCTGTCAATCATTGGGACCCGGTGATTACCGAGCATCTCCAACAAGGAGGAGGACTGCTTTGATTACTAACAGTCCTCCTCCCTGTCAGCTCAGGCACACTGTTCTGGATGGCTGTGCACAGCACAGCCATTCTGAGCAGTATGATTACAGTAAAGACCACACACACCACCCCCTATGTAAAACACTCCCTGCACACAATTAACCCTTTGATCATCCCTCATGTTAACCCCTTCCTGCCCAGTGCCATTAGTACAATATTAGTGCTTTTTTTTTAGCACTGATCACTGTATTGTTGTCACTAGAACAAAAAGTCAAAAACATGTTTCTTTTCTCATCCCAGTATAGCCATTTTTTTTATAGTGCAAAAAATAAAAAAAAACTCACTGGTGATCAAATATCACCGAAGGAAAGCTCAATTCATGAGAAAATTGAATTTGGGTGCAGCATTGCATGACTGCTCAATTGTCAGTTAAAGTAATGCAGCACCGTAACACAAAAAATGGCATGGTCAGGAAGGGGTAAATCCTCAGGAGGGCAAGTGATTAAAAAATGTAAGCCTTATATGTTTATGCATTTCCATAACCTAGCACAAAAAAAACTGCAAAATAAATACTCCTGATGATCTCAGTGATACCACATATGTCTGAGTTCCTTGTTCTTTGCACCTGTGGTAGGGCAAAGAAACAATAGTAGGCATTTTGGTCTTCTTTTTGTCCTACTTAAACATACTTACGCTGACATAAACACTCTCACTGACACTGAATATAAACCTTTTTCTTACCTGAAACACACTAACCCTAACGCTGTCACTAACTGACACTAATACTGACACTAACTGCTATGGCCATTAACAATAACTGCTTCCTCTGACCATGCTGCATGTCCCTGATCGTGGTAGTGGTGGTTGAAAATGTTCTTGATATACTAAGGGTTTAAACAGTCTGCTTTATATGGATAAATTGCAAATATAGGAGGTTGGTGAGGTGGTGGCCTGGTCTGTCCTAGTATGCCCCAGTGGTCTCGCTTTGGGGATGGTGCATGGTTCCAGGGATATCTTTCCCTCACTGGGTGGTCTTGGGCTGATGGTTACACCTGGATAGCCACATGCATCTTGGATTGTAATAGATTCTGACATGTACTGCTCCTGATAGAGCTCATCAGTGACCCACTTTTCCTCAGTCATTGTATAAAATGTTATTATAGTATTGTACATGGTCCTTTCTTGGACAGACCATATGGCTATCTTGATTTACAAGTGTAATACGGTTATAGAGGGTTGGATATTTGTTTTGGATGCACCTATATTAATGATTCAGAATCTTTTCCCTTTTTTTAATGTGTTCTATGTACCCATGTATAAACTTTTTTTTGTGTAAAAATATTGTATGTTGATACGCAGTTATTATTTGATACCTGGTGCCTTAAAAGCCCAAATGTTTTGGGATTCTGTGACTGTAACTAATAGGGTGTGGCACCTTCCTCCTGATTTGAAACAATAACTGCCACCAACTGCCACTGACACCTACACTGTGGTTAACACTGACACTAACACTTACAAAATTAGATCAAGCCCTGATCTAGTTAATCTGTATTTATTGATTTTTTTCAATATACCTTTTTTTTTTTTAACAGACTTCTCCTCTTGCGAGTAAGAAACAAAACATTTTATCTTTTCCTCCTCACTAGAGGAGAAACCTGTTGTTTCTCTTTTACACAGAGGAGAAACATCACAGGGCCAGGCTACAAACTGAATGATCAGTAGCCAATCACAGACAATCACAGTGCTCATGTGATTGGGATCTGTTTTCCTCAGGTTCCTATTGTTAGAACGAGACCCAGGGCTGTCACCGACAGCTTGGTCACAGTGCTGGGAGCATACGATCAAGCACGTTTTAAGCAAAAAACAGAGGGACACATATATGTGGCACCCACTATTAAAATCCACTTTCTGGACACTGCATACATATGTAATGTGGCCATGGAAGGGTACATATTCCCTTCATTGTTTTACTTTATTATTTATGTATTTAAATCTCATTCTCTGATTAAGATAATTTATGAATATATTGTTTGTGCTTAAAAACATGATCTGAAAGAAATTGTGGCAATTACTTTTTACACATTTTTACACCTTTAATAAACCAATTTTTAGGCCCTATTCACACTTAACAAGGCTTTGACCATTTTTAATATCACCTGTTTCCCTATTTTACATAAAGTCTGCAAGAAAACAATTTTATTCTTTTCATTGGGTGGAACTGAAAAGGACAAGGAAAAAATAACTAAAAGTAAAATAAAATATGACTCAGAGCTCAAGGCTTTGACAATTTGGAATCATGCATGCAAAACATTTAAACCTACTTCTCACAGACAGTAATAAATTCAACTCATGAATTTTCAGTGAGTGTGCGTTATCGTGAAACTCCTCTTTTAACCTAGATAATGTTTCTTGAGCATCAACCATTAAAATAAAATTGTATTTTGCTTTTACAAGGCAGGGTTTCTTGTGAGAAGCTAAACTTGCCAATGAAGAATGACAGAATACAATTGACCTCATTTAGTACAGTTCACTGGATCTTTTCCAAAAAAAACACCTTTAAGAAAAAACATGCTTTTTGGAAATGTGCTCACGATGTACAAGTATTCTAAAGCTGTCCTTCGAAGTTTGTACAGTAAATACAAACATGTCATTCACCAGCACTTAATCATGCACAGGAATGTCAAAACAAAAAAAAAAGTTAAGATTCTCTGCACACATTTGTGAAAGTCAAGCACAGTTACAGCAGTGTCGCAACATGCAAGACAAGCCAATAGTGACAAAAATTAAAATCTGCATTATACCTTTGGTGGAGTTGCTCCAACGGTTACCTTCTGAATAATGGGACAGAGTCAACAGATTCACACATGATGCACCTGCACCAGATCCAAATACTGTTATTCTTAAAGGATCACCCCCAAAAAACCCAATATTTTCACTCGTCCATCTTAAGGCTTGGATAAGATCAAGGAGTCCATAATTTCCTTTTGCAGCTTGGTCACCAGTGCTAAGGAAACCTGCACAGAAACAAAAAAAAAAAGAATTAAAAAGGATGATCACAGGGACCATAAACTGTTAATATTAATAGTTTCCACTGACAATACATTTAAACTGCTAGAATTATTATCATCAGCACCACTTTTCCATCAGTATGGCCCTTTAAAAGGTCCTGTGCCAGATTCATAAAGCCCCAAGCCCTTTACAGAAATGTGCAGCATACTGAGAAAAGAAAGCAGGCAGTGGGTGAATTCTATGGCCAATAGAAAGCCAATAACAGGCCAATAGTCTGGCGGGGTTCTCACTAGACCAAATTAAGACCCACCCCTGTGCTCTTGTTTTCCTCCAAGAGCCTTGTCCTCTCCAACAGCCTTGTCCTCAAACATACCTCATTGATAACATTGCTACCTCATTGATAACAACCTTCTCAACTCCCTACAGTCTGGCTTATGCCTGCAACATTCCACTGAAACTGCCTGGCTAAAACTCACTAATGGCCTTATAACTGCTAAAAAACCAATGTACATTGCTCCATACTCATACTCTTAGACATTTTTGTTGCCTGACACTGTTGATCACCTATTCCTTATGAATAAAATCCACTCCCTTGGCCTCTGTGACTCTTTCTCTTGCTCTTTCCTGGTTCTCCTCCTACCTATCTCAATATCACCTTCAGTGTCACATACAAATCTATCTACTTTACTCCTTTCCTCTTTCTGTTGGGGTTCCCCAAGGCTCTGTCGTTGGGCCCCTACTATTCTATCTCTCTACATCTCTTCCCTGGGCCAGCTGATAACTTCCAACAGCTTCCAAAACACCTTTATGCTGACAACACCCAGATCTATCTCTCTACTCCCCAGCTCACCCCTTCAATCTCTTCTCATCTCACAAATTTACTAAGCGATATATCAATATGAATGTCACATCGTTTCCTCAAATTCAACCTGTCTAAAAATGAGCTTGTAATATTTCCTCCTCCTCAATCCCCCCTCATGACTTTACCATTGGAGATCAATAGCACAATAAGGCCCTCCTACTCCTTCTGCATTGAACTGTATTGTAATTGTACTATATTCCTTTAAATTGTAAAGTACTGTGGACAATGTTGGTGCTTTATAAATCCTGTATAATATTAATAATACATAGCATGCTGTCTGTTGGCTAAAGATCTGTCCACTGCCTGCTGTCAATCACAGGGAAGTGGTTATGATAAGGGAACTAGTGTCTTTGAATTCTCATCAGGCTCCAACTACCCAGCTTTAAAAATCTCATAGCATACTAATTGGTATCTCCATGGATGTACAAAGTAGTATGCTATATGTAATCAGGAATGATAGCAGCTACATCTTCTGACACAAAGACTCTCCTTTTTAGCTTCAAAAATACTTGGCTGCTGGGCTGTCTGTGTTACAGCTGGGAGGGAGCTCAACTGCATTGAGAATGGAGTGGATGTATGGAAACTACAGTTTCATTGTGCCTCTGTATGCAGTACTTGCCCCAAGATTGTATACCTGTTTCCAACTGATACATGACTCTGTCACCTATGCCAACTGTGGAGACATGATGGACGTCTAAAGAGTCTACTTGTCTATTTAGGCACACTGTTTTAAAGTGAAATGCCAGGATAATCCTAATTATTCTTAGCAGTTACGTTCCCCCCTCCTAACACCTATGCTTACTGTACTGTGTGAGAAAGATCTGTATACTTACATACAGTATATATTTTACTCTAGTCTGGTCACTGAGCTCCCTTGTGTCACCCAGCACTGGCTTCATGGGAGAGGAGAGAACAACAATGGCTGATAATGCCTGGGAGCATGACGTCACACCTAGGCTTCAATGGCCCATCTATTGTGGATACTCCCTCCTCAGCCATGCTGGCTGACACAGGGGAGTGGGATCACATGACCAGACCACAACAACTTGAAAATAGGTAAGTATATACACTGCTCAAAAAAATTAAAGAAACACTTTGAAAACACATCAGATCTCAATGGGGAAAAATATAATGCTGGATATCTATACTGATATGGACTGGGTAATGTGTTAGGAATGTAAGGATGCCCCATTGTGTGGTGGAAAAATGAAAATTATCAACCTACGGAGGACTGAATTCAAAGACACCCCAAAAATCAAAGTGAAAAAATGATGCAGCAGGCTAGTCCATTTAGCTGAAATTTCATTGCAGCAACTCAAAATGGTACTCAATAGTTGTATGGCCCCCACGCGCTTGTATGCATGCCTGACAACGTGCTCCTAATGAGGCGATGGATGGTGTCCTGGGGTATATTCTCCCAGATCTGGGCCAGGGCATCACTGAGCTCCTGGACAGTCTGAGGGGCAACCTGATGGCACCGAATGGACTGAAACATGATATCCCAGGGGTGTTCTATTGGATTTAGGCCAGGCAAGCATCAAATACTTCATCCTCCAGGAACTGCCTACATTGTTGTGCACCAAGAGGAACCTAGGACCTAAGGTGCCATTGTTTAGCCTGTAGAGGTCTGTGTATCCCTTCATAGATATGCCTCTCCAGACCATCACTGACCCACCACCAAAACAGTCATGCTAAACGATGTTACAGGCAGCATAACATTCTCCACAGCTTCTCCAGACCCTTTCACGTCTTTTACATGTGCTCAGGGTAAGCCTGCTCTCATCTGGGAAAATCACACGGGTGCCAATGGCGGACCTGCCAATTCTAGTGTTCAATGGCAAATGCCAATCAAGCTCTGTGGTGCAGGGCAGTGAGCACAGGGCCCACGAGAGGATGCCAGCCCTCAGGTCACCATCATGAGGTCCGTTTTGATTGTTTGGTCAGAGACATTCACACCAGTGCCCTTCTGGAGGTCGAGGTCATTTTGTAGAGCTTTGGCAGTGCACATCCTGTTCCTCCTTGCACAAGGGAGCAGATACCAGTCCTGCTGATGGGTTAAGGACCTTTTACGGCCCTGTCCAGCTCTCCTAGAGTAACTGCCTGTCTCCTGGAATCTCCTCCATGCTCTTGAGACTGTGCTGGGAGACACAGCAAACCTTCTGGCAATGGCACATATTGATGTGCCATCCTGGAGGAGTTGGACTGCCTGTGCAACCTCTGTAGGGTCCAGGTATCGCTTCATGTTGTAATGACACTGACCCTAACCAAATGCAAAACTAATGAAAAACAGTTAGAAAAGATGATTAGGGAAAAAAATGTCCGTAAAAACCATTCCCTTTTTGGGGATCATATCATTGTAGCCCATCTAATGCACCTGTTGTTAATTTCTTTAACACCAAAGCAGCTGAAACTGATTTACAACCCCCTCTGCTAATTAACTGACCAGATCAATATCCCAGGAGTTTAATTGACTTGATGCTATACTCTTATTAAAAAGTGTTCCTTTAATTTTTTGGAGCAGTGTATATCTTTTAATTACAGGTTAGTAAGCATAGATTTTGTGTGGAGGGGACAGTATTAAGAGTAGTAAGGCTTATCTCATAATTCCACTTTAATAATTAAGAAATAAGATTACTATCTGTTAGTAATACACGTAAGTAGAAGCAACCTAATGTAAAACTTGCCTCCAAATAATACACATGGGGTCTCAGCTGCAATCTGCATACTGTTATAGACAGGGTGAAAGCTTTTTAAGCACTGATGCCAATTTAGTAATTTCTTTGTATATCTAAAGGCTAAAGTTTTCCTTTTTTTTTTTTGGCTGTTCTGGAGATGTGACACAAAATTATATATAATCTCTCTAAAAGTAACAGAACTATCTTTTTGCTCTGTTGACAACACCAAAATGATGGTGTCTATGTCTCACAATGTGTTTGTAAAGGTATGCAATGGAGGCCTATGCCTTTATTATTGCTTTAAGCACAGGTTTTACATTTTATTCCATTTATTCTATTTTATGCATTTGTAGTAAAAAATGTTCTCCCACGCATACCTTTGCTGGTTTTAAAATAATTTATCAGTGTGCAGTTTTTACTTATGGAAAATGACCCAGCCACAATTAGGGGAGGGCAAACTTTTAATACTAGCTAGGTTTAGTCTGGAGTTCTACTTTAAGTATAGAGAATAAACATTCAGTAACACAGTCAATGACAGGCAAACTTACAATAGTCTGGCAACATTAAGTTGTTAAGGATGAATCCTTTTTGTTGCTGTACTGTAAGCTGCTGTAAGCACTTATGTACTGTTTGAACTATACTCTTAAATAAACTTATTTTCGTGAAAGTCATGAGGGCACTACTTTTACCACAAACATTTTTAAAAGTTAAAAAAATGTTAATTTTATAACTTTCACAAATATAACTTTCAAAAAGTGGATTGCTGCAATTGACAGGTCATGAGGTGCCATCACTGCACATGTACAGTGGCTAGTACACTAATATTTGCACATTTTAGAGTATCTGCAATCACAGAAATGTATCTATTTTTTTTCTTATAGCTATATTAAAAGGCTCCTTACATGGCTCAATGTTAAGCCATTAAAATTAAAATTGAAGCCTCCATCTAACTGTACTCTTTTAAACATGACACCAGTACCTGCTATAATGTGTAAAAAAGCACAGGAGGCTATGCATGTAAAGAAGCTAAAGCAATACAAGAGCAGATGATAAAACAAAACTAAGTCTAAATGACTACATGATAAAATAATAGCATAATAATTAATTAACCCAAACTAATTACTGCACTGTTCAAGAACTTTGTGTATGCCATAATTCTGTGAAGCTCTGCTAAACAGAATAACATTTCAATTAGCAGTTCTAAACCAGAGATTTATGGGATCAAACTCGGGCCAATACCAACGTAATTTGATACATGTGACAATTAATTTTGTTTATACATATGCATCTCTTTTGCTCATACATGCAATTATGCTGACATAGATAAATATGGCATAAACTGTATTTACTGCAACTATATTTAACTTTATGTTAAGCAATTATAATGGTAATTTTTGGGAGAAGAAAATAAAGAGAAATAGGCAGTGGCATAGCAATAGTAATAACAACCCACATTGTTTTCTTCACTGCTGACCAAATGTCTGAAGACCTACACACTTGGCTAGGTAATCTCTTCTGAA